AAAGTATATTAATATTAATTAAACCAAAACGGTCGCACTAATTTTCATTTAATTACACTAATTTTAATTAATTACACTAATTTTCAGTAATAAACAAATATTTTTTTTTTATTCAAAAGAAATAGAAAAAAAAAGCAGAAAATAAAAACTGCAATAACACTATCCGTCGAAAAAATTATTGTTCTTAGATCATAAAAAAAAAAAANAAAATAAATAAAACTAAAATAAATAAATAAATAAATAATAATAATATATATATATATATATATATATATATATATATATATATATATATATATATATATATAGATCATATAAAAGTATACATAAATTCGATGATTGACACTAAATTTGCATATCTCAATATCGTGTCAATCAAGTAATATAGAAAGATAAACAACATTCATGAATGAAAAAAAGTGAAACCTGAAAAGTCTAAAATGATATTAGGAATTAAAAAAGGTTAAAGAATCAACTTTAAGCGTTATAAATTCCATTGATATCTATAAAATGACATCTAAAAAAAAAAAAATAAGAAAAAAAAAGGAAGAGAAAAATACAAAGAGGATAAGTGATGACAGAGTGGTGACAATCAATATTAAATGAGATAGTAGTAAAAGACTAAACTAAGCTAGACTAGGCTAAACAACTAGTAAAATGTTGAGTGAGATATATAAGCTCTCAGAATGGGAAATTGAAAAAGCTTTTATGTTGTGTATAGCAAAAAAAAAAAAAAATTCGTTCTTTTTTTCTTCATTGCCTTAAGAAAAAAAAAAAAAAAAAAACGAAAGAAAAGAAGAATGAAAATAAAAATTTCCCAATGGAATAGTGTAAAAGATTCATTCAAAATCAATAAAATATGATCGAATTCAAAACTCGACCACTTCTTTTAACTAGGCGCTATTTTCTAATGATGCTAAAATTCGATCCATTATACACCAATTTCAAATTACACTTTTCTCTTTATATCATTTCGTTTGGCTTAAAATAGTTTGACTTCCGGATACATAGATGTATATCAAGCCTAACCAAACAACTTGTTGTACTAGAAATAAGTATCTTTCTCCCTCTCTCTCTCTCTTATTTTGCTTTCTCTTTTTTTTTTTTCCTATGCAATTATTGTTGAAAAATGATTCTTTAAATTGAAAATAACATTTAGAAGCATAGATGATATGGATCATTTTTTGTTTGACCATTATAATCCAAATAGCCATTTAAAAAGTCTTAATGTTATAGCATTAATTTGGTTTATTGCTTAAGCATAAAGCTAGCTATTCTATTGGCTCGTTTATTGTTGTTTCAAATATATATATAGATATGCATGTCTAAAACTATGTACGAAATATCATTTATTGACCGGACTGAAAAGTACTTCTAACTAGTAGTACGTAGCTGCTAAGCTAGCAAAAATAGGACAGATTGTCTTATGAGAGACATTTTATTGAAGGTTTTTCCTCAGGGGAGAATTACCATCCGTTCTCATTTCTTCACCATCACTACCAATGTGTCAATGTTGAATTTCGTGGGTATAATATTAAATAACGGGGACAAAATATGGGATATCTACGGGGAAATAAATGACAGGAAATGGAAAACAGGTCAACCTCATCAATTACTAATTTGACAGCTACTATAAAAATAACTAAACTTACGCTTTAAGCAACTTTAGGCACTAAATTATGTAATAAATACAGTAAGCTATTATAATGGAAATGGATGAAATTTAGCATATCCTAATCATCGATCCAGTAAACAAATGCTATCATTCAAGTGCTGCTAAATTAATGAGATAATTTCCGATTGTTAATAAAAGTGGAAAGTATATTAATTAAAATGATTAATGGTAGAGAAGATTGGAATTCTTAATGAAATGTAATTTTACTTGAAAAAAAAAGGTCTGGATGACAATAAATAATGATATTCCAAACAGAACAGAAATTTTGAGTAAAGGAAAAAATTTTGTGATTCAGGAAAAAAGATTCGGAAAATAGCTCTTATTCCGAGAATGAATAGAAATTTTGACAATTTCGTGATTCAGAAAGAAAGATTCGATAAATAATCTTATGTAACAGAATAGAAATCTTGGCAAAAGGACAAAATTTCATGGTTCAAGAAGAAGCACCCGAAAAATAACTTTAGTTCCGAAATAGAATAGAAATTTCAGCAGTTTCATGATTCAGGAAAAAATGATCCGGAAAATAGCTTCGATCTCCAAATAGAATAGAAATTTGGGCAAAAGAAGAAATTTTTGTGATTTAGGAAGAAAGATGCAGAAAATAATCGTAATCTTGTGATAAAATCTACATATTACAACATTCTATATCTTGCACTATTAAAATGCTCTCTTTCTGCTTGTACAATATATGTTTCAATCCAGAAATTAAACTTTGTTTGTTTTTTTTTTTGCCAAAAAAAAGTTGAAGTGAAAAAATAATAGTAATTCGTATTTAATAATAATATTAGCACATCGAAATTATTTTAGCCATTAATTATGGCATCTTTTAAGGATAACAATCATTGCAAAGGTGACATTAAATTGAAATGAATTCATAAAATATCAGATAAAATAGAAGTAGAACTGCAATATAACTTTGTAAAGATTGATGAGAAGAATGAATGATATTAGATATGATAACTTGCATGTGGCGGATGAAGATTATATACGAAAGAAGTAATATTTCTTAAACAGTTTATTAAGTACAAAAATATGAATTAATTGAGGTTGTTTAATTTTCAATTACTGTACATTTGTATTTTAATTTAATTCCACTTCCACTTATCACTGGAGATATATTATAATATATGATAGCAGTGAAAGTAAAACTTTTCACTTGATCCTCAAAATTTAAATCAAACCAAAGAATTTGAATTTTAAAAGATGAATAAAGACAACGAAAAAAAAGAGGCGAAAAAACTGTTCATTTCAAAATTGTAAAAATAAGAAAAAAAACCATTGGATCAGTTTTCGTTAATTACATTACAATCAATGATATCGCATTATTCTCGAAGAATAGATAAGTAAGACCTCAATAGGAAATTTATAGTAATTAACAAAAATTTGAGAACTATTGGCAATTACACTAACAATTTCGTTCCTCTTTTTTGTTCGTTAATTATCTTAATTCCTTGATTAAAGATATCCTATTGCATATATATATATATATATATATATATATATAT